AACAAAACAATGATCCATGGTAAGATTTCAAAATGATGGTCATAATTTATGCAAATACTTTATATACAATAAAGAATTTGTCAACATCCATAAAGTTTTAGTCAACAAAAGTACCTCTGACAACATGGCTTGACTTGAATCTAAACAGAATGGAAATGCTTATATTAATGTTTTAACACTTTGAAATGAAACTGTCACATCACATTTCACTGGCCAACAAATTAGAAGTGTAAAAACCTTATTTCCTTACCAATTTCCTACAAGACATTGATCTAAAATAAGATCTGGTAGCACAGCCCTGCCTGTCTGCCTTCCCTCTGTAAATAAAGAGTACATGAGCTCCTCCTGCAGCGTGGGAGTGAGGACTGCAGTCTCACCTATTCATTGCTGTACAACCCACGTCTTTATAGGCACATGAAGTAGTGAGTTATAGGGCTGTCTGACTGCGGGCAAGGTCACCCCATTAGAACCAATGCAGTAGGCGCCAGAGAAGAGCAGAGATAGAGCATTAATGTGCAGCGCGCTGCTATGGATGAGGAGGTGAAGGACATTTGGAGATTCACACATGGTCCGACTTATCGCTTTTATCCCACACAGAATCAAATCATGCTCCACAGGCAGGCCGCAGGCTTCACATAACAGGAAGACCACAGCCACAGTGACCACACAAGTGCAAATAGTCCAAACAATGCAACAATTATTGAACAAAGAACAGAGGTGGAAGTAAGAAACTGCTCTTATGTATGCAGTTTTTATATAATAGTCTTGTATGGATAGTTATACTATGTAACTTTTCTGGAGTAGGGTCCACCACTTGCTTGTGCCCATTGTTTAACCTAGAAGGTTCCACAGTACGGGATTAAATTTATTTCCATGGAGACAAGGAAATGACGCCACTAGAACAAGTGAGCAGTGAGATCAGTGGATATGTTACCCTGCTGACACAATAACAATGCATGTTTCTCAAGATATTTTTAATAATACCTCTCATAGAATAAATGTAAGCAATATAAGTCTAATGCCATACTGTGCAAAGAAATAGCATCTCCACGGAGGCAAACAGGTGGCAAACCCCCCACCAGAAAAGTTACAATTTAAAGCCAAAATGTGAAAGAGCAGAGTTCATGTTATATTTATGCAAATGATACTAATTTGTATGAGCGTATTCATCTTTTTAACAAGCAACAGTTCAAATGTCATAAATAATTCCACCTCTGCTGAAAACGGACACCAGCAACCAGCAGAGCTCACATCAGGAGCTCAACAGTAGCACAGCACACTGCACAGAGCACTGGGTCTCTCCAAACCTCTCAGGGATGAGTGTGAATGATGCAAAAGAAGGGAGATTCACTGCAAATTTTCTTTCACAAGAGTTGGTAAGATCAAATAGTCTCAAATAGATTCTCACGATTTGACTGGGAACCAGTTCAAAGATAGTGCAGTTTATCAGCAGGTGGGACTGCCCTGAGAGGTTTGGGTGAGAGGGGAGGCAGGCAGTGGGGGGCAGGATGAGACAGGCAAACACACACACTTATGGGTGTCATACACAGGTGTCACTCACTGGGTGTCGTTTAGGGACATCATAGACCCCTTCCTTCTGCTGACTGGTGGGAACCTACATCATCCACCAATGAGGGCACAGAACAGCCACAACAGCCCCGTTACACAAATGCCCAATACTATAATATTTTTACACTGAAAACTTCAATGGATTTTATTTATTTATTTTGGACCTATTTTTTTTTTTTAATGTTAGTCTTTATTTACTTCTTACAGCCTTTTAACTAACATGCTCTTATATAGTGACGACCTTATTTAATAAAAAGAAGTTACAAATATGTATTACTGAGTCTGCAAATGATGTCAACTCACATTTTACCCTACCTAATGCTAATTGTTCAGTGTTTTTGACTAACTGATGGATTTATGAGTTCAGACTCTGACTCCTCCCACCACCATCTCACATCAAAAGCTCTGTGAATTATGAGCCCATCAATCACATGGGTGTGGTTCATGTGAGGATCTATGCCTGTGTGTGCCTGTGTGTGTCTGTGTGTGTGTATGTGTGTGGGCAAAGTCATAATCACAATTAAAATCTTTGGAGTGCGTTAGGCTCCAGCTAATCAAGAACCTCCATCAGACTCCAGCCAGCCTCTCTGCTCTCTTTCTCCTAATAAAGAATGGATACGACGTGCTTATCTTCAGCACAGACATGTAATAACTCAGATTGTCACATATATGATGGCATGTAATATCTCTATGTCATACAGAGATTTGACAGCAGGCGCACTCAGAAGAAAGCTCATATAAAAGGTATTGTGAGGCTTTCTATTGGTGAAGCCATTGCAAAGCCTTTTTTATAGTATTTTATAACTGGTCAGTACTGGTGTTGTGAATCAAGTAACACAGCACGAATTGTAGTCCTCCAAGGTTTCTTGGTTAATAGTCATGCTAGATTTCAAATGATATGGAAGTCAATGAAATCTCAGTAGAATAAAGTCTAATATAGTCTTTTAATTGTGTTTAATTGCGCCCACATATATGAGTCTAAAAAACATCAGTATGTGAAAATTTGTTTTATAAGGTCCAAGGACCTAAGAATGTAACAATTTTTTCTTCTAAACTGGCAAACTTATTTTTCTGTAAAGGATGTATTGCACTGACATCTGTAACACAATGCCTGAAATAAAGTATAGCATCATTCCATATAGCACAAGGAGACTGGGAAACTGCTTGGGCCTTGTTTACTTCTTTCACATGTTTATTTCCAGAAGCTGCCATCTTTATTCATACATTGGTTCCTCTGTGGCTGGAGGCTGGCTCAGGCTCACGGTCCCTGGGCCTATCTCTTCAGAGTGAGCGAGCGTGCATGTGAAGTCTGTGTACACACGTGCACAACTCCAGAGCCTCACTATTTTCAATCCATTTTATTTAAAGATCAAACGAGAGGCTGGTGATTAATCTTTCTTTGCCTGGCTTTCTTTCATCTCCTTGGGAAAAGAAGGAGGGGAGAGCAGGAATAAGAGGCGGGGGTCTGCTTCCATATGGGCCAAGAATAACCTCGTGCACACCGCACCACCCCCTGCTCTGTGGGGAGTGCACCCAGAGAACAGGCTCTTGGGGCAGCCATGCGGGCTAGCAGGGCCCCCTGGAGCCTCACAGCTGGTTGTTTGTCTCACATTGTTAGGTGTGTTATGAGAAAATTGAGATATCACACCATCATGAGGAGAGTATGTGAGAATATACTCTGCTGTTTCCTACTGCAATACATTATTGATAGACTTGGTCCTGATATAAAAAAACTGTATTATATTTACAGCTACAAACAGCATTTGGAAAATCAGCTTCTCGAGGTGGGTACAACTTATATTACAGCTCTCAGTGAAGAGGAAAATTACAATCCGTGCTTTGATTTCAAATTCGATCTAGGAAGTAGATACAACTGATTACAATGAATTATTTAGTAGCATATATTTTAATTTTATGCCTATTAGTCTAGTGAGCAGAAAGAGGCTGAATTGTATCTTTAAGCAATGACCATTAATATCTGTGGCATTAGTGTGTAAGTGTGTTTGGTGGTCGGCAATTGGTGGGGTGTTGCTGATATGTCTCTGTCAGCTCGCCTCAGGGTAAAAAGGGCTAGAAAATACTATACTATACTAATACTATATTGTGTCACCCCCTTTCTCAGTTGAGGCTATTTGAAGAATAAATGGACATATTGTTATAACTAATATTATCATCACCATGTTTAATAATGTATGAAAATGAAAATTTCAAGGGCATTTGGGACAATGTTGTTTTATTAATTTACAGCTATAATAGTACTTTATTATGCTGGGTATATATTACATTACATGCTCTCTTAAACCTCCCATTGTACCTATATGACCTTTTAGTGAATTTAAGCTGAAATAACTATAGTAGTAACAAATGCTAAGAACAAAACAAGTAGAAAACATAAGCATGGGAATACCTGATAAATGCTCTCTTCTGATTGGTCACGGATGGGCTCATGTCCCGCCTCAAAGACAATGTACTACAAGAGTAGCAGCGGAGGGAGGGAAACGAGGAGAGAAATTCAAAGAGACTGAGAGAACAGCCGTGAATAGCAGAGGTGATTAGTCAAACATTAGCGTCTTTAGTGGCAGGAGAATACCTTCTACAGTGTCACAGAGAGGAAGTTAAAAGAAAAGCATGCACTACCAGGTTACCAGCATGCATACGGACAAGGCATCCACACCTGAGCCCTATAGTCACATGTACTATTGTGTGTCACACCCAAACAGGGGCTGCTGTCTCCCCCCAGTGCACACGCAGCTATCAGAAACAGAGATCGTTACCTGGTACACGGGGTCCTCCAAGTCCTCCTCCAATATCGTCTGAAGGTGCAAAGATCAAGTAAGAAGACAGACAAAAGAGTTAAGCCAGCGAAGTTGAAAGAGTGAGACTACGGCGCTTCACAGAATTTGTATAATTATTTGGCAATCATCAGAGAGAGACAGAGAGGTTTTTAAAGACACATTAAAGTAGTTGCCAGAACAAAAGCCAAAAGAAGTAAGCAGAATAGACAGATGGCTGTGCTGATCTAAGTTGAAAGTCTAGTGCAAAGTCTTTGATAAGTTTTGGAGTTGTACTTGACTCAACAGTATTTGAACCACTGCATTCTGTTAAAGGCGCTTAAGACTAGTGTCATTCCAGTGTAATCAATTACAAAGGCTGCAGTGATTTAGATAATAGAATCATTCTGCAAAAAACCTTTTTAGAGAGTACCTGCAGTTTAGACCTCTACAAACATCTTGTGAATGGGACTTTTGTATTAGTTTATTAGTTCATATTTCATTCTTTTCCCAAATGTTAATGCTCCTGGTTTACAATGTGCACTCTGAACTGAATCCTACTTTTTAACACAAGTTGCAAATCTATTTGTACTTAGATTTTCTTTCCCATGCAGCCACAGTGTAATCAGTCATGGGGTGTCATGGAGGTGTTGGACAAACCTGGTAGACGGCCTGCTCACACTGCTTGTCCTTCTGAGCCTTCTTCTCCACCTCCTCCCTCTGCTTTATCTCATAGATGAGCTGGAACAGGTCCCGAAGGTCCAATATGACAGGCTCGGCCTAAGCGTGCACACAAAAACAGGCAATGGTCAAGTGTTAGTCAAAGCAGATAATAAAGAAAAACTGATTGCTAAAAATCAGCTGTGTTCACATTTCCGGCAGTAAGTCTGTTCCCGGTGCATGTTGGACTTCACCAGGGCTGCCCTTTGTTACTGGTTCTGTTCATTATATTTATGGACAGAATTTCTAAATGTAGTCAGGTGCCGGAGGGGGTTTGGTTTGGGGACCACAGGATCTCATCTGCTGTTTGCAAATTATGTTGTCCTGATGGCTTCATCAAACCAGGACCTGCAATGTGCACTGGAGTGGTTTCCAACCGAGTGTGAAGCGGCTAGGATGAAGACCAGCTCCTCCAAATCCAAGGCCATGATTCTCGAACAAAAAAAAGGTGGCTTGCCCTCTATGGATGGGTGGAGAGTTCCTGTCTCAAATGAAGGAGTTCAAGTATCTCGGGGTCTTGTTCACGAGTGAGGGAAGGATGGAGGGTGAGATTGACAGGCGGATAGGTGCAGCTTCTGCAGTGATGCGGTCGCTGTATCGGACTGTTGTGGGGTAGAGTTAGCTGAGCCGAAAGGCAAAGCTCTCGACTTTACCGGTTAATCTACGTTCCTACCCTCACCAATGGTCATGAGCTTTGGGTAATGACCGAAAGGACAAGGACACAAGCAGCTGAAATGAGTGTCCTCCGCAGGGTGGCTGGGCGCTCCCTTAGAGATGGGGTGAGGAGCCCAGTCACAAGGAAGGAGCTCGGAGTAGAGCCACTGCTCCTCTATGTCAAGAGGAGCCAGCTGAATTGGCTTGGGCATCTGTTCCAGATGCCTCCTGGCTTGTACTGCATTTACAACAAACTTTAACCATATTTCATAATTCACACACGATGTTTAGTAAAACCATCAAAATAAAATTGAAAGGTGCAATATATAACTTTTCTGATGCAAGGTCCACCACCAGCAAGTCTCCATGGAGATGTCCTTGACTTGCCTGTGAAGTTCCATGGTATGGCACTGAACATCTAACATGCTAATATTAAATTAGTTTTCATTGATAGTATAGCATCTTCATGGAGACAAACAAGTAATGGATCCTCCACCAAATAAGTGCCCCTTTAAATACCGAATAACTGCTGTGTCTTCAGAAGTCATATGTATTCTGGCTTTTCAGCATCTTTATTTTTGTAATATTCATCTTGTCACATGACCACCAACACCGGTCACTAGAAATGGGACAACATTTCTACAAGATGAGATGAGGGACGAGACGAGATACGAGACAGTTTTCTCTCACAGGATCTTGTAGCACAAAATCTTGTACCATCCCTACCGGTCACAGTTCTGAACACTGCTTGCAGAGCATCCCAAATACAATACATCTCACTTATAAATTGTCTGATTAAAAGAAAATAAGAAGCTAACTAATTACAGTATCTCCATTCAAAGTTTATATTTTATTACAAACAATAAATGTTTGAAAAAGGTTGCTAAGCAGGACATTTTTCTATATTTTATTTTAGTAAGAAAAGTCAATTTAATATTTTTGTACAACTATATATTTCTTAACTCTTTACTTAGAACTATTGAAATGTGCTGCTCTCTCACCTGTGGCAACTTCCACAAACACAAGAGCCCTTTGTGATTTAAAGTGCTGTTTTTTTAAACTGAGGATTAGTCAAAGACAGAGTGAGCTGCAGCATCAGGGCAGAGGCTCAGGAGTCAGGCATGAAAAGGAGCACTTAGGGGATAAACACAAGATTTCACAAATATGCTCCAAATGTTGGATATAAATACAACATGTAGTAAAAAGCAGGTGCTGCTCATGTCACTAACCTTAAAACGTCTGAAAACAAGCTGCTTTTTTGCATTTAAGTTGTTAACAAACGAAGTGAAATTATACCTCATTGTAATGTGTTATACATTTGGAGTTGTACTTACATTTGTTTTAGTTTCATCAACCATACTGGGAGGAATCAGGATAAATTTTAGGACTTTTTAGTTAGTGAGTGAGTTTTAATTTTTAGTGAGACTCAACAAATGTTCAGTGTACCCCACCATCCCCGCAGACAGCAGCTATACCTCATCTTACATTTACCAAAAATAATCTAGACAGCAATTGAAATCAAATGTTCTTCTATGTGGAGCTTGTTCCCGCTTATAATGAGGGTAGATCAGACAGCAGAGGCCAAAACTACAGAGCCTCAGCTTCACAAAGAACCCAGCCATTTGTCTGTACTCCAAGGGTTCAGACAGAGATTGAATTGGGCAATTTCAGTTACTTGACAGAAACAAGCAATTCTTTTCACAAAACATATCTTTCACTGTAAATTTTATTCGGTGTAGCCAGTGTAGCCTTTTGTGAGATAAAATTCCATTCCCTATCTTGCATCTTACACAGTCTGTATCCAATTGCTGTAAAATATATTTGATTCTTGGTGGACTCTAGTGCTCCTTGGAGTTGCAGGACACTAGCCTCGTCTTGCACTGTGCACCTTTCTTGTCAGGAGATGACAGACAACAAATGTGTTCAGTGATGCACAACTTGAAACAACTGTCATGAACACCACATCACAAAGCACCACGAGACTTTATCAATTATTGACTGGAGTTACGCAAAGTGCACGCAGAGTTCACACACTAGAAGCTACCGTGCATAAAGCAGTGCTATTTTAGACTGTTCCTGGATTTCATGGAGCATATTCCCACAGACAGACACACTTGGGGAGAACCACGCCCCCCGCAGAGCCAACACAGAAGTATACAGTCACTACATCACACTAGGGAACTGTTGCATTCAGAAATGTATACTTCTAACCTCCAGACACTTTACTGTGGTTTTCTACTATGGTTCAAAATGGAGGACAAGAGGGAACAGAGAGCTGAGACAAGCAAGACATGTTCAGAAGAGTTTTACAACAAAAAGAGCAGCCATAAACATTTTTACCGAGCTTCAATTAAAACACAGCTGACAAGGATTTTTCTAAATGGATTCACTTTCTCATGCATAAGTAAAATGTAGGCTGCCACAAAACTGCATTTTCAAAGTTGATAGCTTAATCGTCTTTGGTAAGAGGTGAATTATAATGAAACCTGCTTAAAAGTATACAAAACACTAGAAAGGGCATTGCACTGCCTTGTTATGAGTGGTCCTCTCTTACTTTAGCTATGGGGCATGGGCAACAACAGGCTGGTCAGTTTAGTCACATATTTAATTCACGGGAATGAAGTGCAGAGTTATTTCAAGTTATTTAAGCTTGAGTAAAGAGGACTTAAGAAGACTTAGAAAGGACAAGGACTTCCAGATTTTTAATTAGAAGCAGGTTCGCCAACCACACTGTTATGCAGTTGTTAAAGACGACAAAGTGTGCTTGAATCTGCTATATAGTTAGACTTCTATGCTCCTACCAAGTATACTTAAAACATGTGCACCAGGCTAATCCTGGTGCTAGGTAATCCTGATTGTGCATCTAGTTTCAGGTTCCACCACTCCTGGTTGATCCAGTGGTACTGAAGGATGGGTCAAATACAGACATAAAAGAACAAAAAGTGTACCTTAACAACCGTAATGTACTACAACTGGGGGAAACTAATTTCTAAAACATACTTGTAACTCTTGGTATCAGCTCGAAACCAATTAGTAGTGCATGTAGCTCTAAATTGGCTGGCTGAGAACATCTTAAAGTCTCACTCTTCGTGACAACCACACCACAGTGCTTTGTTAATTGACTTCAACATGGTATATTTTCCAATTACAGCCGCTGCCTCGGCCATAACCTCTTAATGCTCGGAGCTCGTCATGGTTTCCCCACGGCTAACAGGCTCAATCTCCACCATTTTTGCTCAAATCCCAGACAAACAAAGTGATAAATAATGGTGCCTCTCTGTGCAGATTTAGTTGACAGATGACGGCTTCACCTTACGTGGGGATGTAGCGTTGGGTGAGGAACCGTTTTGTGAGTTGTATATGTAGCGCAGTAGCTAATGTGAGTATCGCTCTAAGTCAAAGAGCCGTGGTCCATGGCCCGAGGAGGATGGATATGCCATTAGTGCGGGTGACACACACTCAAACCCTCATCGACTCACTATGGGAAATCGATACAGCTACAGAGTGAGCCAGCTGGAGCCAAACGCCGCACCAAAACAACACCAGCAGCATTCAAAACAGGAGGGGAAATGCAGCTTCCAAAAACACAGGAATTTAATGTATTGTGTTAAAATAAGTCAGTGAATAGATGGAGAACATTTTTTACTGTTGTTAAAAAGGAACAAGGTAATTGGCGGATTACACATCATCATTTACTGAGAAATTGTTAGTCCCAGTCATTCCTGTAATTATTTGTCCAGTGAGACATCCATATTAATAAGCCTTTATAATGAAGCTGTTTCTGTGATGACTGGGTATGCTAATCACTGTTACATTAAAAAACAGTTAACTATTGGGATACTCTCTAAACACTGATGCGTTGACAGCAAAAAAAGGAAATAATAAAAAAAAAGAAGAGCCACATGAGAGGCCATCAGCTGACTGCCGCTGTGAGAACACTTCAAACAGGTGGTGATTTTCTGCGGTCCAGAATGCAGCTGTTGGATTCACACTGGCCCAAGTGCAGCTTCAGATCCGATGCTTTTTATCTTGACCGAACAGTAATGTGAACGACCGAAAATCCTGCTTTATGATATTTGCACAGCAGCATTGTTTACAAAGACTAAAGGAGTCCATAGAGGTTTAGTGTAGAAGCTGAGAGAAGTGTTCCCCACATGTAAGACACAGGACTGAGTAAACAGCCTGTGATGAGCAACACACAAAAGGGACAGTGTTGGAGGGTGCTTATCTAAATGTCAAGAGGGCTGCACTATTGAGAAAGACCCTGATGAATCATGCATTAACGTACACACACACACACACACACACACATGCACGCACACGCACGCACACACACACACAAGCACACATACACGTGCATGTCGAGTTTACATGCTTCATAGGGACATTATGACTTGCATTCATTTCCTGGAGACTGATCCTAACTTTAACCATACCACCTTAACTTTAAAACTACCCTTAACTTATTTGAACCCATGTCTAAACTTTAAATCATGCAGGTCCCCATGATGTGAGTGTGTATACCATAGACTGTATATATGAGTGGATATAGCTAATGCGCTAGCCGCTGTGTCCTAAATAGGAAGTTTGCCAGGAGGCTTTCGGCTCCTTCTGACCCTGGCTCCGATTGACATACAATGGGATCTTGTCATCCTTCTGTCTGGTTTTTTTTTTTTTTGCTATTTTTTCCTTAAAAAATCCTGTTCATAACACACAGTCTGGCTCCAGATTTGCTCCTGTAACCGTTAGAGTCGCGAGCCTCATTTGAGTGGCACTGAACACTATGGGTGATGTCACACTCACTTAGTCCACTTCTTTTATACAGTCTATGGTGTATACACAGTTGAGTCCCCACAGTGTGATAAGTGCAGGGAAGAGACTAACTCTCTCCCTCTTTTCATTCTCTCTTTCACCCTGTATAACACATGAATAAAGGGCAGCACGGATCTGCATGGCAATATTCTCATGAATGACAAGTAGACAACTTGACCTGCACTATCCAGTCAACTTTAACATGTTCTCCCCCATGAAGTCACAACTGTTAGGTCACTTACATAACGTTATAACAACTCTATTCAGTTGCACTGCATTTTCCATAACTACCAGCAAATAACTTTCTTACCCTAACCTTCTAGTTATGAGAGTGGATAATATTGTAGCTAAATAAATCCTGCAAAATCCATATGCAAGTTTCGTACCGACTGTGCAGTCTTGATGGCCACAAAGCGGTGGTTGCCCTCCTTCCCACAGACGTATCCAAATGCTCGGTGGTCTGTGATGTCCTTGGCGATGTAGGAGATCTCATGGACTGCATGGTGGTGCTGAAGAACCTGGGTAAAGAGCACAGTTGTTGTTTTCAGTTTGGTTAAGAAGAGCACAATAGATGTAAAGGTTCTACATACACCATGTAAATTAGACAATCCAGTTCAAGAGGCTTTCTGATTACTCTTTCTGAATATAATCATTTTCTTTTCACAATCAAAAGTACCAGAGTGGCCCACCAAATTACCTTGGATCCAGTCAGATTTGATTGGTATTTTCCAAAAACAATAACTGCAGCATAAATGAACCCTTTTGTGCATGTGCAGTAATTATATTTTTGGATTTACAAAAACAAATTGCAAAATCAAAGACTCACAAAAAATATTCAGCCGCATAAAACATATGATTATATGCGGCCTGCTCCAGAGAATGTGACCTATGTGTTGTCGACAAATAGGATCACATAGCTCTCAAGTGTCCATGCTGAGACCTTGTATCCTCTATTAAACAGTTTGGAGCTCTCTGCCCACTCCAGTTTAGGCTGGGTGGTCCATGCCAAGCTGGCATGGCCCGCGGCAGATGGCACTGTTTTTCCCGAGGACAGAGGGGGGATCAGTGACAATCACAACTCGGCAAGCTGTCCACTTGATCACTTCATCTGTGCCCTCTCCTGCCTCGCGCCTCCACAGCAGACACACTATACACAGACTTAATATGCACTGGCGCTGGGCTAAGTCGAACTAAATGTCTGCTTTGTTGCTATTGTCTGCGCCAGATGCATGCTGGGAAAGAAGGCGCAGAGGCTACACAGTGACCCTCCAGCCCTTGAGAATGAACTGACCAGCTACACATCAGTGACTGAAGACATCTGCTGCCTTAAAGTAGAGGATGCACGTTATAGTGAAAGTGTATTATTAATGCCACAAATTTAAAGAATTCATACTGTGCTTCTGTTATTTAACTGTTACTTCTGTTATTTTAGTTATATAACAAATATAACATCATGGATCATTATGTTATATTTTGGACATTTTAAATCAATAATATTTTCTAAAAGGACTTAATAAAGAAACAAGTCTACTGACTTCTGGGTAGGAAAATTGCTTGGCCCACTGGGAGCTGGATCATGCTTTGCAGATCATGCTAGCAAGTGCAGATTTTTCATTTGTTATAAAATGGTTATACAATGCTGTCGAATCCTATGCGGATCACATATTAAGAAAATAAAATTGGAGAACGAAGTAAATACACAGTAGTGGGTGTACACCGGTGGCAGTTAAAAAGTTGATTGGAGCAACAACGTGATTACAAACATGCGTGAATTGTGCTAAATACAACTAAGTGACTGAGAAGGTTAATGAGAAGGGAAACACCTACAGTATAACATCGTTAAAAGCTCTTTTCTCCAAACTCCAAAGCATGCTCACAGTGACATCAATTTAACATGGGGCCACACATGCACAGCTCTATATCTAGCTAATCACTGCATGAGTCATGTCTAGTGAATTGAATAATTAGCCTAATGATTATTATTATCACCTCTGATTGACCTGAGAATGGCGGCTAAGGCCCTGTTGGCACACATGTAAACACACATACAGCTCATTTGCAGTGATTATTGAATTATGTGCGGATGGGAGGAGGAGGTGACTGTGTGCCCCACAGCGGAGCAGGGAGCACAGGCTGAGGTGATGGGCAAACTCAAGCACCAAGGAATTTAACACTACTCTATGATATTTTGGGGCTTTCAGAGCTGAACAAAAATACATCACTTTTTTTTGCTCATAATAATAATACATTGCAATTTTCAGTGTTCAACAGACATTTATCACTGGAATTTAAAACAGAAAATAGTCTGAAATTGTTGCTCTGTTAAATAGCCTCAAGTAAACACATAACAAACACAATTTAAAAAAATCAATAAAATGAAACATACAACACAACACACTAAACATAATCAGGATTTCACCTTCAAAATAATCTTAAACCATCCAAGAAGTTCATTTAGTCTACTTTAGAAACTACATCATAGTCAGAGAATGGGTTTATAAACTAATACCTCATAATTTCACACAATCTCTTATTCATTTGACTTCTTGATCTTAGTTGTATAGCAGAACTGCCAGTCAATTCCGCCGACTATGTTTATGCCAGAATTGTCCATCTAATAGCCTCGCTGCTGTCTGTGCTATATCCAGTAAAAACAACCTCATCACCACCTCGATTTTAACAGCTCGGGTTTCCATGGAGACGCCGCCCTGCTGAACTGTTTGGCTTTCTCATCGCTGCCCGCGGCTATGCAAAACGAAATGAATTTGTCATAATATTGTTAGAAAATAGAATAATTTGATGTGAGGCAGATACTGTTGGCAGACTAGAAGAGTACAGGGTCACGGATGTTTACACAGGAGGTATGGGGCAGACAGGTAAGAGCCGCTGTAGGCTGCTAATGCTGCAGGCGCACACAACCCACACAGTTCACAGGGCACTCAAATCAGCTGACAACAGAGGTCGTGTGACTACAGTGGATTATGGTATGAATCAACAAGTACGCCAGGGCAACAGTTCATAATAGCACATTTGAATGGGGTATATGCCATCAGCCTCCATACTGAATGTCAGTCTGATATAATAGCGTTAACAGAGCTGCAGTGAATGAGGCGTAAGTGTTTTGAGTGACTCTGAGCTTCCAGAGATTCTATTATTGTCAATCTTTACCCGCTATGAGTCAGTGAAAAGCCACCAGTTAGATTTACAATGCCATTTACTGCTTTTTGTAACATAAGTTGGCAATAGCCGATAGATAGATAGATACACTGCTCTATGGATGAAAGAGAGAGAAATGATAAAGCAGTCATCTATGTTTATTTATTCAGTATTTATCCTCCACTATATGCTTTAATGGAACTAAGTATCAGTCTCACCACAGACAGGTTAGACAGCCATTCACGTCTCTTTGCAGTGGATGTGTCTTATACGATTCTTTATTACTTCTCAAATTACTGCTAGAGTACAACGGTTTGATTGTCTTTGTTGGAGACAGTGTGGCCACTCAAACGCCAATCACTCTCATATTTTTTGGACATGTACAAAATTAAAATCATTCTGGGACAATTTGTTTGAAAAAACAGATACGATCTTGACTTATGTTGTCCTCAAGGATCCAAAGATATTTTTGGAGAGGTGATCAAAAAAGATTTAAGATTCTGACATAGACATAAAAAAACAAAACAAAAAACAATAACAAAAAGCTGGCTTAAAAAGGACCCACCATCAGTGAATTATTGGCTAGACATTATAGAAGAAATATATTCCATGGAACAACTGACTTTTTGTACGACTCAAAGGACATTTCTTCATCAAACGCTGATTGAAATGCTTGAAATACAAACAAAAAGAAACTTGATTCAACCTTCAATATCCTTGTTGCAGTGGAACAGCACCCCAAGCTTTGTATTGTTTTTTTTTTTTTTTTTTCTTTATTACACAAAACTTGAAAAACAAATAAAAAGTATTATTATTATTCGCACTGGGACAGTATAGCAAGATTATTTTGATAAAGGGAATTATTCTGTTTCAATTCTACAATTATTTTCAAATTCAATTAAAATTCTTTTATAGCGATACAATACATGTAATATTAAAATGAAAAAAATAGAATTTCTTCATCCCGCAGGAGGCATGTCTGGCAGCAGTAGCCAACTATAGCAGAATCAGGTGGGAGTAATGGATAAGTATTTGTGTTGTTGATGTGGCTGCAGTCTGCACAGTGTCAGGCTCAAAGGAACAGGGGCATAGACTGGTCATTGAACCATGAGGAAGACGAGGCGCACCACTCTTCTTCACATCTCCTCCTGCCTGAGGGCCAGTCTGAAGCCACAGGGCTGGGAGCAGGGAAATAGAGCAGTCCATTTTATATGATATAATCTACAGCTTACAACCGAGGAAATATGGCTCATGGTGGATACAACTTTTATCAAGAACAAAAACTTTGTGACAGCATAAGAAATGGTGATTCTGGTGGAGTCCTCAACAACAAAACTGACAGCATTGGTCAAACTAACTTCAGTGCAAAACATTTTCCATTGTTACTGGCTGACTTTTTGCGCAGTCATTTTTCAATTTCCGGCCAACTCACACAAGCACTTGAGCCTGTTGTCCTGCCGTATCAGCTAAATACGATTAGTGAAGTAGTGCTCCATCAGTCCATATCATCTACATTTAAAATAGATGCATGGACAATGGCCCTGTTTGCTTGAGTAGCCATCACAGAGAATAAATTGGCCTTGGCGGTTTGATACTCAGTTGAGCGTACTTTTAGAATACATTTAGAAGCTCTAATGGGTTCATTCTTGTAAGAGCGGAGGTTGTACAAATACTTTATGTTGTTTTAAAAGTTATCGTCTAAGTTAGGGATGTAACAATAACTGAAATATCGTGATATCGTATCGTCAAAGTTCTCACTATAATATCGTGGACCATCACAATACACTGAATTACAAGTCTTTTTGCTTAAATTAAGAGTTATGGTGCATCAATAGACAAAAAAAAAAAAAAAAAAAAAAAAGACAGAGAGAACTACATAGACCATGATCCTTTGCGCCATTTCAGTGCAGACTACATGAAGAAATAGCATTTCTAAGCACTTTTAAGTTTAAGTTCTTTGAATTAAGTCTTGTCAAGGCATTTTAAGAGGAAAAAGTAGCATATTAACAGTTTTGTTAGACTCCATCATACTATGAGCAGTGAAGATATCGTATCGTGAGACTTGGATATCATTACAACCCCTAGTCTAAGTATCTTCAGGAACACAAATGAAACATGTTTACTAGTATGTTACAATTTATCATTTATCATCATCGTTACTGCTCCACTGTGTTTTTAAACTTCATACACCTTCACTAGAATCATTTGGATGCTTTCAGCACTGTACAGAACAAAAGGTAAGCTTAGAAAGATTGCAAGCTTTATTTTTTATGTAGAAACTTTAAAATAATCAGAATTTTTTGGATTAGATTTAGATTTACTGTCATTGAACAAAATACAACGAATCTTTGACAGAGCAAATCTGTGTGCAGTAAAAATGAATAAATATAGACACATTCTCACATCCATACCAATAACAACATTAAATAAATAAATAGATTATTCAATATTCAGTATTCAGATTATTCAGTCTCTTCAGAATTATACTTTTGTACAACTTTTGTTTGGTTTAAAATGTATTTAAAAATATCAATGTACAATGGAAACTAGTTGACTAATCAAAGAAATCATCGCTGACAAGTCAACTACTAAAATAACTCATATTGAGGATATAAATAGCACTTACATTCTCTGCTTGTTGCAACTTTTGCTTTAAAGGTACATTTTGCAAACATCAGAGCACCTTTGAAATACACATTGTGAATTGGCAAAACTACCTGAGTGAACCAGTAGGGGTCAGTCTATGGGGTCAGCGAGTCCAGCCCTTCACACTTGACCTCCTGTGGACTTTCTAAAGACCGCCCAAAACACTTGAGGTCACAGCCATTGGTGTGCGATAGAGACAGAGACCTGCAGGTTAGATTAATGCCTCGTCTTTTCCTCTCCTGCACCCCTCCACCCCCACCCTCCACGCCAGCACCCCCACCCTGCACGACCTTCCGTCCTCCGTCCCGCGCACCCATACATCCTGCCGCCCCGGACTCTTGACTGATGCGCAGACAGGAGGGGAATGAGTCTGTCGAGAGCCCTGAACCTCCACACACGATCTGCCCTCCCTCCCTCCCTGGCCATTATAGGAGTTAGGCTGAAGGACTGCTGGTAAGGACAGCATATCTTTATAGTTAATATTAATGTGAGGAGACAGAGGACAAGGTCTCCCTGTAGAGAGCTTTACTTTGACATATGCTGCCTGATTCCCCACCTATCCTTCTAATGCTGTCTCCGTCTGTCTCTGCCTCTATCACTCTGGCTCACATCATTGTTTCTGCACACGCATCTCTTTCTTTTTACATATATCAAACTCAAATACGGCATTGGGACATTTTTCTCTTAGCCAGGGAAGGCAGTTTTGATTATGTGCTGTCCTATGCGCTATTAACTACACTATATTAGGAACGAACATTAAGTGACATTTTGTGAAATTTCAACAATTTATTTTTTTCTCACCCAGACACCCACTTGTAATAAACGGCACATACATCAATCACATTTATAGAGTTAATGGATTGAGTAAAAGACCTCCACCAAGGCACTACGAGTGCGCCTAAGCTAAGAGATGTAGCCAATAAGCTCATCCGTCAGCTAAGTGCTTCTGACCAATGACATCTACTGTTCCTGACAGGTCACTCCAGTGGCACTTAAGGTTGCATCAAGGAAAAAAAAAACATGGAACAATAATGTCGTTTATATTTTAAACAGGTCATAGCACAGGGGAAGTGTCCAGTGGAGTGTAATGATCACATCTGAAATTCCCTCTTTTTTTTTTTGGTAGAGGTGATCCAAGTTGAACCCCAGTGGTATAGTAGAATCTGTCCTATTCACCTCCAACACAAATAAAAGGAAAAATGAAAAAAAAAAAAAAAAAAAACTACAAGTACTAAAATAATACAAAGGAATTGCCTTGTTCCAATATTAAAAGATTTTCTTCATAAAACTGCTAAATATATAGCCAATTACAGTGTGATTAAAGTTGAATTCATGATACATTTACAACAATGTTTATTAATGCACATAAGGGGTGTAACGATATCCAAGTCTCATGATTAGATATCGTCACGGTATGAACCTCATGGTATGATATTTATCGTGGAAAAGCTTGCGATATGGTTGGGAGGCTCATGATTACGGATGTAACAATATCTAAATCTATCGGTACGATATTTTCACGATATACATCTCACGGTACAATATTTATTGAGATATTTTGTGGAGCTAACAAAATTGTTAATATGATACCTCTTAAATGCCTTGACAAGACTCAATCCAAAGAACTAAGACTTAAAAGTGCTTAGAACTTTTATTTCTTCATGTAGTCTACACTGAAATGGAGCAAAGGATCATGGTCTATATAGTCTTTTTTTTAGCTATTGCTGCACCATAACTCTTAATTTAAGTAAAGAGACTTATAATTCGATATATTGTGAACGTCCATGATATTATTGTGAGAACTCTGATGATACGATATCACAATATTTCGGCTATCGTTACAACCCTAATGTACATTGTTTTTTGTTATAAACAAATAAATAAACAAATACATAAATAAATAAATAACACAGGTAAAAAGAGAGCAAGGAAAACACAAAGAAATTGTTGCCATATTTGTTGGTCCGTTCATTTTATAACTACTCTTAATAAATCAGACTTGGACCTACTTTTTGTCCCAACCACAGTAAACTCTTGGTAAGTGTGTCCAGTCATTCTAACCCTGTTCTGGTGAATTATAGCTTCATTTAGGAACATGGACACACAGCACCATTCACACAGATCTGTAGCTCAGAGCCACTGCTGAGGTCTAAATCTGTGGCTTTACATGTCAGACAGTAAAGCCAGTGTGCAGACAGAGGCTTCTTTATGTTCCACTGCCACCAGACACCAGGCAGGAGACTGGACACGGATGCTAATGTCAAGATGTATGTGCAGAATAGGTAAACATGATTGATTTCAGCTATTGCTTGGTTCAGAAACTTCAACTGTCAAATGAAGGTAACAAAGTCAAGCCCTTGTAATGCTATGCCTTGGGACAGTGTTATATTTTAGGCTGAAGGATAACGGGACACATATGTGATCATACTGGGACCATAGCTGTCAGGGCATCCTTGAGGAGGGAGTATCAAAGGAAATCATTACACTCCACTGGCCACTGCAGAAGCACACTGGCCACGACAACAGTAAAGGAAACTGCATGGGTCCTCAACATTCAGCCAATACATCGACTTTGAGAGAGGCTAAGTGGTGTTGTAGTCTAATGCAAATGCGTATGGATAATCAAATCAATAAATAAACATTCAAAGCTAAAGCTAATTCAAGATAACATGAGCTGGTACAACAATGCATCTTACTGTCTAAACTAAGCAGGCTATAATGTTAAATAAATGTAGTTGGATATGTTTGGACATTAGATATTCAAATGCTAAATAGGTTTTCATTTGTACACGGTGATTTTAGCTTGTTTTGCTTACTTAGTTTTAGTATATACTCGATGTAAGTGACTTGTACTACCTGCTAGTTAAAGGTGCAGTGTAGAGCCCTGCACGACGCAAAACAGCGCGACGCGGGACATTTTGAAAGCTCAATGCGGGCGCGGGCAGGTCTGCACAATGTGAGAGCGGGCAGATGGGATGATAAACTGCAGTCCCGCAAACTACATATGAGTGTAAAGTAAAATATACAAATGATTCATGTCTGTCTATCATACATCATGTGTGGTAGATATTTTATTTGGCATTAATAAAAACATTTTAACTTGCAGATGTGGTCTAATCTCGTGCACATATTATACAATTCCTTTCCGTGTTTGATAGATCTTAAGAAAGCAAACGTCCCCATCTTACAGGATTTGTGGGTGGGAGCGGGACAAAATATTGCAGATGCGGGCGGGAGCGGGACTGGACAATGTGGGAGCAGGCAGGTGGGATGATAAACTACAGTCCCGCAAACTAAATATGAGTGTAAAGTAAAGTATACAAATTATTAAAGTCTGCCTATCATACATACTTTGGCTGGATATTTTATTTGGCATTAATTAAAACATTTTAAGCAGCCTAAACTTGCAGATGTGGTCTAATCTCGTGCACATTTTAGACAATTCCTTGTCTCCGTGTTTGATAGAGCTTAAGAAAGCGAACGTCCCCATCTTGCAGGATTTGTGGGTGGGAGCGGGACAAAATATTGCAGATGCAGGCGGGAGCGGGAATGAAAATTACAGTTCTTTGCAGGGGCGGGAGGAGTGGGACTGCACAATTGTGTATCACCATCTGCTTGTCTCCATGGAGATATTGTTGTTGCTTTGCTATGGTCCGCAGTATAGCATTAAGCTTATCTGTCTGCTAAACTCACTGCTAAACATTCTAATGGTGAGGAGGATCACCTCACCACAGACCTGAACTGTAACTGGTGGCGCACCTGCTTGTGAACATCTCCATAGAGAGAAGCAGTCACCTGAAAAGTCGCACAGAGGACCTTTAAGGACAACATTATACTTCGCACTCTTGGTTTGCATCTCTTGATGAAAACTCCACTGACACTGCTCTATGAGACAGATTGGACAGGACGGGCAGTTGGACAGCCTCAGAGCGGCCGTGCTGAGGTGTATTAAGTAGCTGATCGTCAGTATAATACCACACTATTGCTGTTTATGTTTAAGAGACCCACACAATAGAATGTGCATGTTCTCTCATCTGCACCGGCCTTGTACTCAGGGTTTCAATTAGACCCCCCTAATTTCCCCAGAGGCCCCTCCCTCTCAGAGATGCCTCATTAACATTGAAAACACCACACACACACACACACAAATACGCACATACGCCATGATAGCGCACACATGGATATACATAAAGTACATACTATATACTCACCCCTGACTTCTCATCATAGATTTTGATCCCTCCAAAGGATACTGTCAAGAACACCTTCTGCTTGTGCTCTCCTTTGGACCGTGCTGCTGCTGCTATGCCCTGTAGGGACACACGTACATGCATGAATTCATTTATGGGGAAAATTCTATTCAAAAGAATCAAATATGTATCAAAATGTTCCTTGTATATTGGTCTTTGCAGAGATAAGTGAGGACAGGGCTGCACACACAGAAGCGACTGAGGAGAATTAAGGTAAACATTTATAGAGCGCCCTCCTGACCTTAGACACACAGCGGTCAGAGCGGAGCAAGGCATTATGGGAAAAATTATACAAGACACACAATCTTTCTGGGAACATGTGGTCCGCTGTGGTTATCAGTGTATTGACTCTGATAACTGTGGGCCTATGTGGAGGGAAAAGAAGAATGCTGCAAAGAGGAAGTCGTGAGTAGAAAGGCAACGGACTCATGCCATGGAGCTGAAAAGCACATCATATTTCATGGTGATGTAATTCTTTGGTTCTTTTGCATCAATATGGTTGCATTTTAAACCACAAATCAGCTTATTTCATTTGGCTTCACCATTCAGTCAAGTCTATTTCATGCCATATTCCCTTCACAAATCTGTATCTACTTACCATACAAATCTTGTTTGTAGAAATTAGCAAAAGATCATTTATAATGACTATTAACAATATTACAAAAAACAAGTTGATAGTATAGGAGGTTTGAAAAGTTAACTGTGATTTTATTTTACTTTGAACTACACTTTTTTTTTTTACTTTGACTATTAGGGCCGGGTATCATTAAGAAGTTGTCACTATGATACATACCTTGATACATAGGCCACGATATGCTACACTTTTTGTTACAGTGAACTTTTGATTCAATAAAATATGATATATTTCACATCGATTTAAAATGGTTCATTGAAAAAGTTGAATAAGTCCTCTAAGTTTATGCAAAGTGAATATGAAAAACACCAATTTTACTCATCAAAACAGTGAAAATGTCAACACTTCTGTAGCTTTTACACAAAATAATTTAGTATATATACCAAAATATACCAAAAATTACTCTTGGTGATATCTAGATACAGCAGCCCACGATATCGATACTGTATCATCAAATTAAACAAAACAATATATCGATATTTCAATATTTTTGCACACCCCTAATGACTATGTAACTTTTCTGCTTGTGTCCATGGTGATGTCATTACTTTGCCCTGAATGTTCCGTATGCAGTATGACATTAATCTTATCTATCTCCATGTAAACAAGCAGGTGAAGCCACCAAGCCAAGTTATAGGTCAGATCTGTGGAAAGGCAACTCCACCAACAGTAAGAACACATGTTTTTCAAATATTTTTCTCAACAATAAAAACACCTGCACAGTAGGCAGTTGCCATACTGTGTAACACGTCAGGCAAACCCATAACATCTCCATGGAAACAAGTATTTGGCAGACCATCCAATAGAAAAGTGACAGTGCAACTTTAAATGACAACTAAACTATTGAGCAATGACAGTCATCTTGTATAGTAGTTGGACTCTACCTCATTCTTTTACAAGACAATGACTTTACAAACTGTCAGCCCAATTAGGCCTAAGTCAAACGAACATTCTCTTCTTCTGTCTGGACGAGTGAAAAATGAACAAATGGGCCTTGCAAAGAATCATTCATCAAGAACTCCTCTTTTACTTTGATTTATATTTTCTCTGCTAAAATGCCTCGCAAATAAGTGAAAGTACAATGTGTCGCGACAACTTACCTGCTTGAAATAATTGAGTGTATGATTTATGGCCCGACTAGAGCCTCTAAGGATTGGGGCGTCTCTGTACTTTGCCCGTGGCTGTATTTGCATAGGTGAGCCACAACAGCAGATGAAAAGAGGTAGAATGGCGGGCTGGTGCAGGGCGGGGCAGTGGAGGAAGAAGGTGGAGAGATCAGAGAAAAGGACTTGATGGATTTGCTGTCGGAATAAATGAGGAGGAGGAAAGCTGTTTGATCAATGAGCTGTCCATCCCCTGCCTCACCTCGTGCGCCTCGCCTGGATGGAGTTTTCAGTGGACATAAACAACATGCACACAGACTATTCTCACACCAATGAACAAAATGTACCCAAGCGCGTTCCTGGTGCAATTCTGTTTATTTTTTTTATCTTTGGCTATATTTGAGCCTCTTTGTGCATTATTTATTCAGACTAGCACAGAGGTTTTGCAAGGACATTATATTACAAATAACAACCCTGAACTTGAATGCCCGGCTAGTTCTTCTCTTTCTCATGCTGTGTTTGCTAAGGAGTGTTCACAGAATATCACCTGCACCATCTCACACCATTCTCTGCAACCTCTCCTGTCTCTACAGCTGCATATGTTACACTCACAAATCCTTTATTTGATCTTTGTCTAGGTTTCTTCTGCTTGCATATTCCATATTCCTCCATTGTACCTGTCCAAACTCTAAATTTAGTCTTCCCAAAACATGCACAATAGGCACTATAGGAGAAATAAGGTAGTTTGACCAAGCCTAGCTCAAGATCTGGAGATGGGCCCCTAGACACAGATTCAAAGGACAAATTTCCCTACAGGGACAATTAAGTGTACCTTAACCTTGCATGTCTAAACTCTAAATCTAGTCTTACTGGCTTCTTTAGCATGAGCTGTCCAACTGGTGATTCTTAACCCTGTTCATCTTTGTAACTGCACAAGAGAAATTCAATAAAAGTAGTTTCAGCAATACTTACTCCGTTGAACGCTTTGTTGGTGACCTGAATAAAGCTTTAAAGGTGCACTGTGAAAAGTCGGCTGCTTGACTCCATTAAGATGCTATTGCTGAAATGTCCCATAGTATGGCATTAAACATCTATATCCATGGAGTCAAGCAGGTGATGTTACTGGGATAAATTACAGGTCAAATCTGTAGAGAGGCAACTTGCTCTCATTAAGAATGCATGTTTTTCAAGACTCATAAATCCCCTGTAACTGAATAAACACAAATTCTACAAGTTTAATGCAATACTGTAGAACATTTCAGGCAAAGCAATAACTTCTCCACTGGTACAAGCAGGTGACAGACTCTCCCCCCAGATGTTACACAGTGCACCTTTAAATTCTCTTCTTTGTGGACCTCACTGTTCTATCTCTCACACACAAATCTGAATGATAAACTTCCAGCTTTCGTATAAGTCGTATTGACAATAGCCAGTATACAGCCACATGCCGACGCTTTTACTGATTTCCATAACAGCAAACATTCATAGTCGTTGCACCATATTGCGTCTTGCTGACTCTGGTCCCATCTGCCATAACACCCTCTATTCCACTATTCCAAGCTCGGTTGTTTCTCATTCACGGGGGAAACACACTTCTCGAAGCATTTCTATTTATTCAAATGTGTTTCTGTTGACAAGAGTTCGCATTATAGGTAAATAGTAGACCAAAAGCTTCCTCTTCACCCAGCCCTGCAAAGTAGACTCTAAATTATCTTACGACAAGGCTTATTTTTCTCCTCATAAATGTTCACAGTTCAGTGTTTCTTCTAACTATGATTTCTACTAAAATCAAAGATCTCCATCCAAACATGAAAGGGCATCATTACCGTATGTGGGATACACAAAACATGCATAGTAAAATGGTGTTAGAATATGCATGAACATGTGCTAGTTACAGCCAATGTTATTCAACTTTAATTACGGTATGTGATGTTGTTTAGACCATTAGAGGAAGAAATAAACAAAAACAATAATGAAAAAATAGAAAAAAATATTATGTAACTGATTCAATGCGTGTTAGGAATTTATATGGATGCTATATGTGCCATAACACCCAACAAATCAGAATAGTTTTCTTCAAAGTGGATATATGTTTGACTGTTTTTTATTCACTTAGTTAGATGGTGACCAAGCTGTATAACATTGATCCAGGTGCAGATTCTGATGTTTTGGAGAATATTTTGAAACTGTAAACAAAAACACCCAACTATAACAATATTTTGCCCCATGAAAAAATGTCAAACCCGTAATATCTCACAAACCATATATTTGATAGTGGAATGTGTGCATTTGTCTTACCTTGAGCTTCATCATGGAGTCCTGGCAGAGCTTGTCTCCTCGGGCGGCAGTGACCTCGTCCAGGCCGATGAGCTTGGCCTTGTAGCGGACGCCATCGCCCTTAAAACGCCTGATGAGAGCTGCCTCGCTGCGATCCTGCCCTGCAGACACACACACACACACACAGAACGGTCAGCGCCGAGAACACACTACATCTTCCATCAAGGACCTCCATCTCACTCCCCTATTACCTGGGGGTCATCAATCATACTGCTCACAACAGTAATCTGAAGAAAAACATAGGTCAAAGCTGCTAATACTAGGTCTCACACCAGCCAACTTCATGTCCTGTTTTTACACAATGTATCTCAATGTCTTCCTATAAGGCACCCACAAACCTTACCGACTCATACTTCAGTGCACAATGTAACTTTTTTGTTGGAGGGTCTGCAACCTGGTTTGTTTCCATGGAAATATAATAGTTTTGCCTCAAAATACCAGGGAAAAGCATTCATTCTTAAGATACGTTCAGACCGGAACCTCAAAAAACTCACTGGACGCCTCTACCAGGATGCCTTTGCATTTGAGTTTAAACGACCCTGACGCACGTCTTGGATGCCTTGGACGAACAGGAGAAAAATAGTTGATGCATGTTCAGGGCATCCGTTGCCCTGGAAACAAGTGCCCGGTCCTGGTCTTTTCCCAGAACAACAGCAGACCAGTCCTGATGTAGTCCTGGCGATCAACTCGGCAGTTGCGGTGTGTATATATTTATACTCCACTAATGTTTGTGGCTCCCGGCCCTGACTGGCCAGCTCCTGTGTCGTTCTCTTTCTTCTCCTTTTTCTGGATAATAATGTCGCTACATCACTGGATAGTCGTCCCTGATTGGTTGACACGGCTCATCCGATGCCAAAAGTTCAGCATTTTTAACCTCTGACGCCAGATTGGTATATGCCATACTGTGGCATATACGAGGAAAAACAATAACATCACCGTGGAAATCAGCAGGAGGTAGATGCTATTCTAAAAAGTTACATAGTGCACCTTTAACCGTTTTTATTGAAAATATTTTTTGCAATTCAATTTGCCTGGATAACAAAGATGAGCTGTTTGTCTATGATAATTCCTTATTCTCTCCATTCTTGTTGCGACCAAAGAGAACCTCAATCAGCAAATTCATACTATCTATCTATTACCTGAAGCCATCTATTTCTATAACTTAAACAATCTATCTGGAACTGTCAAGTATAGTGATAAGATCTGCAATTTATATTGAATCTACAGCGGACATTTAACACCTTCAGAAGCATTGACATTTGAGGGCACAGTGAGAACTGAAAACGTAAAGGCTAAGCAAGTTTTATATCCAAGACAATCATTAGTTGTATGCAGAAGTACATTTGAAACAATTGCAGCTGTTTCCATTTGGTAATTGTAACCATTCAAATAGAGATTTTAAATTTGAGTGCTTGATTGCTTTCCTACTTTTACTCATCTGCATGTGTCACCTCTTCTCCACACTTGTAGGGAGTCATCAATCATTCCGCTCACAGCAATAATCTTAAGAAAAAACATAGGTCAAAGCTGCTAATACCGGCTACATCTTGTTATGCACCTCTATGGGACTGGAGACCTGCTGCCATTGAACTCTAGCATCATATGAATGGCATGGTCAATACACTGGGACAAGGTAATCAATGGAGTTTTGCAGGATTAGACTTGAGGCTGTGGAGTCCCCTTCCCGGGACATGTCTCCTCTAAAATAACGCAGTGACATTTGGCTCTTATCTGCTCTGTCTTGCACAGCGCTCTTGCTCCATTGTGAGTGGAGATTGCGGACATTGTGAGCAAGCATTAGTGGTTGTCAGGGATGGCACACACGTGTTGACCTTGCTCTCATCCAGGAAGTGTCTGTGTTATCTACTGCAGCTACTATTTATATATAACATAGTACTGAGAAATGGTGTTGTATTGCTTCTGTTCTGCAGTCTTACATGAAGCAAGATAATGCAGGAGGACTTGTATAGTAATAATACCATTAGATGAGTCACATGTGTATGATTTAATATTCTAATGTACAACTTGTGGCTGGAAACCATGTGAGGGTTTTTTTGGTTTCATCATAGTGTGTGAATTTTCCAAATAAAACACAATCCATGAAGACACAGCCTCTTTTTGCTTCACTAGGAAACTTTTCTGGTGGAGAGTACATCATCTGCTTGTGATCAGCTTATCTCCACAGTATAATATAAAACTTACATATCTCTATGGAGACAAGCTAATGACCTCACAGGGCAAAGTTAAGATTCACGGAGAGAGAACATTGCCAAACTTCAAGTGGCGGATCCCTCACCAGAAAAGTTCCATAATGTACCTTTAAATCAGGAACAATTGAGTTTTAGACATGAGCCATTTGGAAGTTAACTTTCAGGGTAAAATCTGCAGATGCAAGGTGACCAAATTCATTTCATTTATATACCTTCATGTGTCGAGTGGATATTTCCAGCATTACATTATATCATTGTTCTGAACTTTAAGGGGTCTATAAACCCGAGCGTGTCTACAAGAGTGATGGTGAAAGGGGCGGAGTACTGATTATGCAGCATATTCTGATAATATATCGAGGCATTAGTTTTGTACTCTACAGCAGCGTGACTCTTGGAAGGTCATACACACAGTGATGGAGAGGTCTCACTCCTCCTCCTCTTTTCTACCACATCCCTCCATTCACATACAGAGTTTAGAGCAGTGCAGAGGCATTGCAAAACATAATCCATGTTATAAATATGACATTAAATTGTTTTTGTCCAGATCTTCCACATAATCAGACTAAAACTACACAAAAATGACTCTTGATGTCGGCAAACAACCCTCTTGTTTTCAACAGATTAAACATTATTTTAATCAACTGAACATAAACCACAGTCGTGAAGCTGACCCAGATGTTCAAAGTGTGGCCAAGGGACACATCATAGCATTTCATACGGCCTTAGCTACTGTAATAAAAAGTGTTGTAAACTGTCTAGATAATTAACAGTATTATGGAATGGAGCTGCTTCTCTCCTCAAATGTAAAAATACTATGCTAAAATCAAGCACAAATCTACAGATATTTACATTTTGCTTTGTAGTTGGGTAAAAAAAAATCCATTACAGATTACAGAAGAAATTTCCCAGGAATCTTAGACTTCACTAGTGTACTGGCACAAGTCATGGGGCACCTCTGGCTTGACCATCGCCATGGGGTCTTTAGGGCTATAAAGGGAAGACATCAGGCTGGTCCTCAGATGGACTGTGAGTGGCTAGCATCAGGTGTGAGCTCTCTCAATGTGCATTAATGCAGCCTACAACCTCATCAGTTCACCTGGGGAAGCACACTTAGGAGAAGTCTATGCACAACCCAGGATCCAGGTGCAATTTCTGTATAGCATTCTTCACCACTCTCCTAACAATATCATGCAACTAACTGAGGACTGAAGCAGTTTAGTAGTTAGAGCCTTTGCCCATCAACCAAAAGGTCAGAGTGTCAATCCCAGCTGCAACCAGTGTAAAATGTTGTTGGGGCGAAAGTAGCTCAGTTGGAGTGTTTGTCCACTGATCTTAAAGCTAGCGGTTTGAAAAGCGCTATAATAATGTAACCATTTACCATCGTGTCCGTGGGCAAGACATTCACTCCCACATTGCATATGAAGGTGGTGTGCAGTGTGCAGCCTTGCTTCCTTCAGTCTATCCCAGAGCAACAGTGGCTGTAGAATTGTATATATTCTGCAAAATATTATCCCCTTGCCACCAAGTGCAAAATCAACATCAATTCTCAACATGTATTGTGGGTAGCATAGGGTCAAAAGTTCACTACTACAGATTACTTAGTGCAGATAAAATCATTTTCCAGTGTATAAACAAAGCGATCCCATTGAGTAAAAGCACCACCTCCACATGCACTCATGTTTGGGATGAATCACCCAGCACACAGCTCCAGCACAATCCCACAAATGTGAAGTGTCTGCCTCAAAGTCTATGGAGACAAAACGCCACACAACATCTGTCCTTATTGTGGAGCGCAGCAGCAGCAGGCGCACTGTGTCACGTCTCACCGGGGCTTTGAGAACACTAAATGATTACACCACCAGGGGATGTGCACAAATCTTCTATCATATTTAAATAAGGCTTTCCATAAACTTCTTAAACAATCTTATGGAATATACAAATAGAATAGACATTAACTACAGGGGAAAACTGCAATATAAGTGCGTATGCAATGACATGAAACACCAGATCCACTTCTGTTTGACCAACAGCTACAAGTTTATTTGACGGAAAATGCATATTTGCTTGCATGGGATCCAAAATACACACTTCTCCAAAACATTACTAAGATGTGAGTCTGGTCACTGGTTGTATCTCCACGAGTTCAGATGGGTTTGATTGGCAGGTGGATTATCGGGGACACGCATGGTCCATCTCCAAAAAAAGGCTGCTTACGGGGAAAATAGGAAGGAAAAAATATCACAGGAGACTGAAAAACATCACGTATTTCTGTGGAATCAATGAGCAAAGAACTCTACTCTGTTTAACTGAGGTGAGAGAGGTTTGATTTTGTTAAATGATGGGTGACCAATGAGCTCATTTGTTTCAGATGCGTCACTGAAATAAACTAATCTGCTCGCACACTGCACAGTACTGTCTGAATCTGGCTTTAGGCACGGCAATGTGCATGGTGACCAGACTGATATCCCTCTTATTATCTTATAATTTTTATTATTGTTTTTAACTTTCAGATTATTCTAAGACACACTTTTATTCTCTGGCTTTTAACACCGCATGAGTTGTATGGTCCTCTGTGTGTTTTATTTATTTTTATTTTATAAATTTTATAGTTTTAACAATGTATTTTAATGCTTTTTTATTTATGATTTACTCTCTTTTTGTCTTAATTTGTCGGTGCAACACTTTGGAAACTGTCATGTTTATAAAAGGTGCTGTAGAAATAAAGTGGATTGGATTGGTTTGATAAATGTTATTAAAAATATATATTACACTTCTAAGGCGGAATATGTTGAAAGTTGTTTTAAGTTCCAAAGGACACTACCCCTCTTAAGTCCAATCAATACGAAAGCTACGACAAGAGAAACATGGTGTAGCATTGTTTAGCTGTCTTC